GCCAGCCCTGCCCCCTGGTGGGCTGAGATGGCCACACACACACACACACACACATAAATAAAAAAAATTTTAAAATAAAATAAAATGCTCATTTATGAGATTACCAATTCAAGAGGTGGCCGGGCATGGTGGTGCATGCCTATAGTCCCAACACTTGGGAAGCTGAAGCAGGATTGCTGAGTTCCAGGCCAGCCTGGGCTTCATAGTAAATTCAAAGCCATCCTGAATCACATAGTGAGACCCTGTCTTAAAAAAGCCAAAATACAAACACTAACTCAAGAGGTTCTTATTGCTTATGCTCTTCAAAGGATTTAACTGGGGCTGGGGAGATAGCCCAGTAGAATAATGGCTTGCCCTGTAAGCACAAGGGCCTGAGTTCAACCCCCGGTTCTGCCAGGAAAGAAAAGAAAAGGAAAAAAAAAAATTGCTTCTCAAAGGGTTTAACTGATCTGATATCACCAGTAGTGTGACATTTAACCATATTTCCATTTACATATTTTTAAAATGTCTTTTTTTTTTTTTTTTTTCTTCCCGGAACCGGGGATTGAACTCAAGCCCTTGCACTTGCCAGGGAAGTGCTTATTCCACTGAGCCATCTACCTGGCCCTAAAATGTCTCTTTAATTTAACATAAAATCACCTGCTGTATTTGTTTCACTGTCTTGTCTGATGGCACTATTGCCTTTTGTTTGTTCCTAAAGCCATAAGGGAAGACTAAGGCAGAGTTCTTGTGGAATTTATTTTGTACTCTTCCATTTTAAAAATAATGCCTTCCTGACTTGAAATTATACTACAAAACTACTGTAGTAAAAATCAGCATGGTACTGGCAACAAAATAGACCTGAGAATCAATGGAATAGATTAGAAGATGCAGAGGCTTCTAGGAACACACTCAGCCACCTCATCTTCGACAAAGGGGCCGAACACGCTTACTGGAAGAAAGATAGTCTCTTTAACAAATGGTGCTGGAAAAATTGGCACTCTACATGCCAAAAACCAAAACTTGACCCAGATCTATCACTGTGTACTAAAGTCAAAATGGATTAAAGAACTGAACATTAAAATAAAAACACTAAATCTCCTAGAATAGAAAGTAGGAGGATCTCTTAAAGACATAGGATTAGGCAAAGAGTTCATGAACAAAAATCAAATCGCACGGGAAATACTTTTTTTTTGGCAGGGGATGGAATACTTGAAAGAATTAACAACTGGGACCACCTCTTATTGAGAAGTTTTTGCACATCAAAAGAAATTGCCGGGCCAAGAGGATGGCTCAGTGGAATAAGCGCTTCCCTGGCAAGCGCAAGGGCCTGAGTTCAATCCCCGGTTCTGCAAAAAAAAAAAAGAAATTGCCAACAAAGTGAAAAGACAATCCACAAACTTTGAAAAAATCTTAATAAGCACTCAGACAAAGGTCTGCTCTCTAGAATTTATAAAGAACTAAAGAACATTAGGGCCCCTAAATTTAAAGACCCAATCCAGAAATGGGCATCCAAGATGAACACACACTTCTCAGAGGACGAAATTAAAGAAGCGAATAAATATATGAAAAACTCCTCGGGCTGGAGAGATGGCTCAGTGGTCTAAAGCACCTACTTGAAACAAGCTTGGCAAAGCACAGGGACCTCAGTTCAATCCTCCAGCACCACATGCCAG